CTGGCAAAGATGTAGGGAAATTGGGACCCTTGTACACTGCTGGCAGAAATGTAAAATGGTGCAGCCGCTGTGTAAAAGAGCTTGTCGGTTCTTCTAAAAGTTAAGCATAGAGTTTGCCACCTGACCCAGCAATTCCACTCCTAGGTATAGATCTGAGAGAAATGAAAATGTATGTCCACACAAAAACTTGCACATGAATGTTCATAGCAGCATTATTCATAGTAGCCATAAACCAATGGATAAACATCATCCAATGGATGGATAAATCATCCATATACAGTGAAATATTTTTCAGCCATAAAAAGGAATGGAGCACTGATATTTATTACATGGATAGACCTTGGAAACAAGCTCAGTAGGGCTTCCCTGGTGGCGCAGTGGTTGAGAGTCCGCCTGCCGATGCAGGGGACGCGGGTTCGTGCCCAGGTCCGGGAAGATCCCACATGCCGCGGAGCGGCTAGGCCCGTGAGCCATGGCCGCTGAGCCTGCATGTCCGGAGCCTGTGCTCCGCAACGGGAGAGGCCACAACAGTGAGAGGCCCGCAAACAGCAAAAAAAAAAAACAAGCTCAGTAATAGAAACCAGACATAAAAAGCCACATATTGTATAATTCCATTTACATGGAAAATTCAGAATAGGCAAACCCACGCAGACAGAAAGCAGATTACTGGTTGCCAGGGGGTGGGGGAGGGGGAATCGGGAGTGACAGTCAATAGGTATGGGGTTTCTTTCTGGGATGATGAAAATGTTCTGGAGTTAGATGGCAGCATAACCTTGTGAATATATTAAAAACCACTGAACTATACATTTTTAAATGATGAATTTTATGGTGTGCAAATATCTAAAAACTTTTAAATCCCAATAGAAAAGATAAGTTATGTACAGAGAAACAAAGATAAGAACGACATCATATTTCTCATTGGAAAGAATGCAAGCTAATAGACGGTGGAGCAACATCTTTAAAGTATGGAAAGAAAAAACTGTCCTAGCAAAAATATCCTAAAGAAAAGCAAAATAAAGACATTTTTCAGTTATACCCACACTACAAAAATTGCTAAAAGATGTCCTTCAGGCAGAAAGCAAGTGTTACGAGATAGAAATCTAGACCTACATAGCAAAATAAAGAGCTTGGAAATGGACCTACTTAGGTAAATATAGAAAATCTCGTCTTATTTAAGACACTAGACTTGTTGTTATATTTAATAGTTTTATTTTCCTTTTTGTTGAGAGAATCATAGATTCTCATGCTGTTCTAAGAGATAATACAGAGATCCCATTTACTTTTCACCCAGTTTCCAGCGATGTTAACTTGTCTCATAGCTATAAAAGGTGACATTGCTATGACCCCTCGATCTTGTTCAGATTTCACGAGTTTCACACGAACTCCACTGAGTCTATGTGTGTTTGTTTAACTTTATGCAATAAAATGAAATTTTATCATAACTATTGCACATGTTAATAATTTGTTCCTTTTCTTTGCCAAGTAGTATTCCATAGAATAGCCATACCACAGTTTAACAGTTGTGTCATTACCCAACTGTTTTTGGCTATTGGAAATAAAGCTGCTATGAGTATTTGGGCACAGGTTTTATTATGAATTTGAGTTTTTATTTCTCTGGGATAAATACCAAAAAATGCAATTGTTAGATCATACAGTAGCTACATAGTTTTGTGAGCAACTGCAAACTGGTTTTCAGAGTGGCTGTACCACTTTACACTCTCACCAGCAAGGCATGGGAGATCCCATCAGGGAAATGGAAATAAAAACAGGCACATCTTCCACGTGCTTATTTGCCTTCTGTATGTCCTCTTCCTTGAAATGTATGGAAAGGTCTTTTGCTCCTATTCTAAGTGGATTTTTTAAAAAAATTTTATTGTTTAATTTTGAGCTTTCCTTTACATATTTTTTTAGTCCTTTATAAGATATGTGATTTGCAGGTATTTTCTCCCAGCCCATAGCTTTTCATCCTCAACACCTGGTCTTTCTCAGAGCAAAAGGTTTGGACTCTGAGGAGGTCCAGTTTACCAATTTTTCCTTTTATGGGTCAAGTCTAAGCAGTCTTTTACTAGCCCTAGGTCCTGAGGATCTCCTCCTACTTTTTTCTGAAAGTTTTATAGTTTCATATTTTACATTTAAGTATTTAATCCATTTTGAGCTAATCTTCACATAAGGTCAAAGTTCATATTTTTGCCTACAAGTGTTCAAATTACTCCAGCATCATTTGAAATTCCATCCTTGAATCTGAAATTCTATCCTTACTCCATTTAATTGCTTTTGCATTTTTGTCAAAAATCAGATGGATATATTTGTACTGAAGCTGTCTAGGGCCCGCCAGGAATCAGGGACAGAGACCAAATATATATTTCTTATTGTGCCACAGTGCCGTTAACCACCCACTGTGCCCACGGGGTACCTCCAAACCTTTCCAGGTTCCTCCCCAGCCCAGCCACCTCTCAAGGGGGCTCCAAGAGAACACTCCACCCTCCACAGGCATTCCATTGGCCTGAGGACAATGGTCTCCAGCACTGCCTCTCCCAGCCAGGATCCCACCCTGACCCATCAAACCCGAGCATGCACTCACGGTCCACGCGGAGCTCCGCTTTGGTAGATGACACACCCACGCTGTTCTCAGCCAGGCAGCGGTAGACACCCATGTCTGCTGGCACCACAGCTGTGATGATGAGCTGGTGGCCGCCCTGCTGGTCCTCACTGATCACGTAGTGGTCATTCTCTTCCAGCACCCTCCCGTCCTTGAACCAGTGCACACTGGGCATGGGCTGGCCTGTCACCACACAGTCAAAGCTCACGGGGTACCCATCCAGCACCTCCTGATTCTGTAGCTCAGTCAGGAACACCGGGGCTGGGAGGGACGGGCAGGGCATACGACACGTTAGCCTCAGGCTCCCCCAAGTTGCCCCAGCTGCCAGCGGTTCAATGTGCGTGATCTGCACGGCACCCATTCACATGAGTGCTCACAGAATGGGCGGCTAAACAGAATTCGGTCTGTGCCAACTGAGCTCTTCCCTCCTCCCCATGCTCTAGAAGAATCCTCTCTTCGTTAGCCTGGTTCCCAAGCTGCCATGAGGCCAGAGAGATAGCAGACAGGAAATGGGGAAGACGGGGAAGTAAAGAGAAGACCAAGGTTGGTTGTCTGGGATTGGAAGCACGCTAGTAGCTCAGAATTAAAGAGGAGGAATGATGCTGTGTGTTATTAATGATACTCCCTTTGCTGTTCCTAGGGAGATGCAAGTAAACAGTGAAATGACTTTTTAATTAACTTTAGTTGCTGGAGTGGGAAATGGGGTTCAGGCTGGACTATGTGGAACTCCGCCTTTTGTACAGATTATATCTGAAACCCTCACGGGGGAAAAAATAACCCTAAACTCTAGGATGTCAGTATTCCCAAATCCATTTCACAGAACAGAACTCTGAGGCTCCGAGAGGCTAACCAGTAGCAGGCAGAGCGGAGACTTCAGTTGAGCTCTGTCTAACCCCAAAGTCAGGGCTCCTCCCAGCTCAGTGGGCTGCATGTGCGAACAGCCAGAAGCTAAAGCCCCTTGAGCTGAACCTCCTTGAGTTTTCAGCTGACCCTGGTCACCGCTGCTGCCTTCGCTCTTCCCTTCCCCTCACCCCTGACCCAGGCAGCTTTGCAGACTCACCTGCCTCTGCGGCCAGTACTGGCTCCGGAGGCGCTGCAGGGGTGGGGGCCACCTTGCCAATGCGCATCTCCACCCCATGCAGCCCCTGCTCTGACAGGCTGATGTCCACTCTGTTGTCCAGCGTGCCAAACATATCCTGGAAGCAGGTGGCTGCCCGGCGGGCCTCGGCAAGCGTCTCGAAGCGGATGCAGATGGACTGTTCATCTTCGCGGTATGTCTGCCAGTCCCCAGGCTCCTCGGGCTCTGCCTTGCCCTTGTCAGCGCTGAAGATCTCCTCATCTGAAACCTCTGCCAGGCCCTTGGTGCGGAACAGGCGGTGCAGCCGCCGGGCGGCCCGGCGGAAGGTATCATCCAGCTCACTCCCGGAGGAGCTCTCGGTCTCACTCTCCATCCCACTGACCACCACATAGGCACTGTGGGCCACACGGCCAAACTTGTTGCTCACCTGACAGGTATAGTGGCCAGCATCGGCCCGGCCCAGGCTAGTGACCAGCAGAGAGCAGGTGCCATCCCCAAGCTGGTCAATGTGGTGGTGCCGGCCATCAGTTAGTTGCACACCGTCCTTCAGCCAGTGGGCACGCACATCTGTCTTGCTGGACACTACACACTCCAGATGCAGGACATCTCCCACTTGTGCCACGGTGTCCCCAAACGTGCGGCAGAACACAGGCCCCTCCTGCTGCTGCATCTCCTTCCGGACCTTATAACCCTTGAAGGCAGCCTGGATCTTCACTGCTGCCTTGTCCACGGATAGGTCACCCAAGTCCCCAACACTCAGGTCTCCTGGTGGTGGGGGTACCGAAGCTGGCTTCTCCTGCTGCTTTTGTGGCTTCCCAGAAGGGGCGGCTGGGGCCTCAACCTGTGTGCACAGATAAGGTGGGGCACCTGAGGCCCGGGACAGGGAAAGGATTGTGTAGGGACACACACAGGGCAGGGGGAAGCAGAGCCCAGGTCTCCTGCCCCAGCTCCACGCCTTGCTCCTGCATGCCTGCTGCCTGCTACCTGCTGTCAACTGCACTACCTTCACTGAGGCCAAATGCCTGATGGCTTCTGTTGCTTCCAAAAAGCAAGCCCACCCTCCCTAAAACTGCTTTCCCCAGAGCAGGACAGAGTTGTGAGAAATACCAAGGAGAGATAGGTTCCAGCTCTTCAGAAAAGAAGTTTTAACAGCCAGGTGGATGGATGGATGGATGGATGGATGGATGGGTGGGTGGATGGTCGCTGGATGGGTAGATGGATGACCAACAGATGGGCAGATGGTGGGTGGGTGGAAGAATGGATAAACGGATGGTGGATGGACCGACGGACAACAGTGGAGAGATGATGTGTGGATGAATGACAGAGTGGCAAAGATCTAAGAGACCCAGGCCTCTCCTTGTAGGTCAAGCTGGAGACTCACCTTGCTGGCCAGTGGTGAGGCACTGGCCCTCCCAGCCTTCTTGAGGTAGGTAACCAGGGAAGGAGTGCCCGCACGGGACTCGTCGTCAGAGCTGGTGTGTGAGAGGTCAGCCTCGCCAGTGCGTGCCAGCTCGTCAGCCGTGGAAGAGTCCTCAGAGAGGTAGGGAGCCTCCTGCTCTACCTCCTGCCGCAGGCACTGCGGGCGTCCGTCCTCCTCGGGCAGCTCGCTGATGGAGTCCAGCGTAGGCTCTCGGCTCATGCGGCGCTTCCGGGCCAGGGCCTCCCACAGGAGATGCAGGTCGCCTTCCTGGGCCGCCTCAGGGGGCAGGCTGGGCTGTGTGGGGACCTCATCCCCAGATTCTGGGGTCAGCACCACTGAGGAGGGCAGGAAACAGGTCAGTCAGGCAGGGACAGAGCCATAACCCCAGGCTGGCCTTAGCTACTGACCACAGTTCCCCTTATAGGCCTCTGCTGCCTGCCTGGGCCCCCAAGAGTTCTGATGCACCCTGTGTACAAGGTTTTCGAGGCTCTGAATGGCCCTCTCTAGGCCTCAGCATCCCCTGATCAAGCCAGACCTCAGTCTTCCTCCTGCACAGGAGGGGATTACCACAGGGAACACCAGGCCAGGGTCAGTGCAGGTGCAGGGGGCTCAGAGTGCAGGGGAGCTCAGAGTGCAGGGGAGCTCAGAGGGTAGGGGAGCTCAGAGTGCAGGGGAGCTCAGAGTGTAGGGTAGCTCAGAGTGCGGGGGGCTCAGAGTGCGGGGGGCTCAGAGTGCGGGGGGCTCAGAGTGCAGGGGGTTCAGAGTGCGGGGGGCTCAGAGTGCGGGGGGCTCAGAGTGCGGGGAGCTCAGAGTGCAGGGGAGCTCAGAGTGCAGGGGAGCTCAGAGTGCAGGGATCCAACGCTTTAAAGAACCAGCAGTGGGCACCAAGGGCTGCATTGGCCAGGATCCCACTCAGAGAGCGATATGACCTCAGATGCCAATGATGTGGGTTCTGACAGGAGGCTGAGCCACAGGGATCTGTGCATCTCCCCACCCTGGGCCTCAGTCTTTCTCAGTGTGAGGCAGTGTCCTCAAGAGGACCTCCTGCAGTTCCCCGAGAGAACCAGTGAGCAAGAGGGCTGGCCCACTCCACATCCCAGGGCTCCTCCCTCCACTGGGCACGCTGGGCCCTGGGAGACATACCCTGGAAGGCAGCAGCCGCCACAGAGACAGGGTCCCGTGCAGGGGCGCAGCGATACTCGCCCTGGTCCTCCGCTGAGAAGTCCCGAATCAACAGCGTCTGCCGCCGACCCCGGCAGAGAAGCTGGAAGCGCCCACTGGGCTGGATGCGCTCTGTTCCCTTCAGCCAGATGACCTCATCAGCCTCGGCCACCTCACACTCCAGACACAAGTCCTCCCCAGCTGCCACCTGCCGGCTCTCAGGGGCAGGGGGTGCAGGCGTGGGCTCCCGGGGCTCTGCTGGGAGAAGTGGTCAGGAACAGGAGGGGCGCATCAGTAAGGATGCGGGCAGGGACCCCCAGCTTAGAGAGGCCTTGAGGGCTCCAGGCTGGCCCCCCACCCTCATAAACCAGGAGCAAGGCAGCAACTCACCAAGCCTCACTGTCTGGGGCAGGTACACAGGCTCCCCAGCGCCTGCTGCACCCACTGCAGCCACACGGAAGCGGTAGGTCTCCCCGGGGACCAGGCCATCCACCAGGCACTCGGGCCCGGGCACCAGCTCGTGGCACAGCTGCCACTCTCCTGTGGCCGCTGCCTTCACCTCTACCCGATAGCCACAGAGACCACCTCCGCCATCACTCGTGGGAGCCACCCAAGACAGTGTCACTGAGCTGCTACTGCGCCCCACCACCTCTGCGTCCTCTGGGGGGTCGGGGAGGCCTGCGGGGGCGGGCAGGAGGCACAAGGTCAGTGCAGCAGCTGGCAGTCGGCACCCGCAGCCCCGCCCACCCTGGGGTCTGCTGGTGGGGCACAGTATGGTCCACCACTCAGAGTCCTGTGAACAGCTGTGCCCCACAGCCCGGCCTTTCTGAAGGGGCGAGGAAGGTGCGTTTGAGTCACAGGAAGACTGTGTGCCCAGAGGCCACCGAGCGTGGGGGGCCATGGAGAACCCCCAGCAGCCTCTGAAGCTGAAACCTCCTGCCCCCCGACCTGTCTCCCCGAGAGCCCTGGACCCGAGCTGCAGCAGGCAGACTCAAGCCACCCACCCAGCACAGTGAGCCTCGCAGAGGCCACGGCATCACGGGCAGCAAAGGTGACCTCGCCGGCATGGTGCAGCCGGGCCCGGTGCAGCAGCAGGGTGTGGTGGCTGCCTTCAGCGGTGACTGTCCAGTCTGCGTCGTCAGGCTGCACCGAGGCTCCATTTATGTACCACGTCGCCTCACCCACCGGCACTGTCTCGCTGAGCGTGCAGCTGAAGCTGGCCCGACCCCCGGCCAGCACAGCTGCGTCCCGGGGTGCCTCCAAGACCTCCAAGCGCCAGCCTGCGGGGTGGGATGGCAGTGTGAGCTCAGGGGCCAAGGGGTGGCCTGGGGCGGGGGGAGGGGCTGGGAGACACCCATGCCACCCCCTCCCGTTGCCCCCGAGAAGAGGAGGGCACCAGCCTCAGGTGGGAGTGGCCTCAGAGATCAACGTCCCCAAGGCTACCACCCAATGCTCCTGTGGGCAAGTCTCAGAAATCGATGCCCTTCCCAGAGGCCCCAGCTTCCCCCCGCCCCGCAACCCCGCACTCCACCCATGACCAAGCAGCTGGGTACCCAGTGGGAGGAGTCTCCGAGACCCACGCCCCCCTGCTGCCCCAGCCCTGGCCTACTACCCACAGCCAAATATCCAGTGAGAGGGGTCTCAGTAACCTAAGCCCCCTCCTAGGACCCCACCCCGCTCGCACCCCACAGTGTGATATCTCGTGCTCGTGGGAGGGTTCCAAGAGGCTCATGCCTCCAGCAACCCTGCCCCTCCCCCTGCACCCAAGCAGTGAGGTATCCGGTATCTGGTGGGAGTGGTTGAAGAGTCCCAAGTTCCCACACAGTGGCCCTAGCCCACCCACCCCTGCCCCCTGCAGCGTGTGGTATTTGGTAGGATGGGTCTGAGAGACTCACACACAGCCTGTGGTCCCAGCTCCACCCCCAGCATCCCTGCAGTGGGTGATCCCACGGGAGGGGTCTCAGCGACTGACCACCCCCCTACATCCCCACCCTCCCACACTCTTGCAGTGGGCTATCAGTGGGAGGGATCGCAGAGAACCACCCTCCCCCCTTGGACCCAGCCCACCCTCCCGACCCCACAACTCTAACCCCGGACTGTGAGGAATGCAGATGTCACCACGTCCCCCGCCAGGAAGGTCACCCGGCAGCTGTCTCGAGGCTGCAGGTTTTTGAGCAGCAGCAGGTGCCGCAGGCCGTCCTCAAAGTAAACCACCTCGGCGTTCTCAGAGGTGCGCACCGGCTCATCATCCAGCAGCCAGGTATGGGCGGCCACCTCCGGCTGGGACAAGAGGCACTCGAACAGCGCCTCACCGCCCTCAGGCACCTCCACGTTTTCCAGGCCTCTCACCACAGTGTTCTTGGCTGTAGAAAGAAGGTGGCTCAGGGCGTTCTCAGGGCTTCTCCAGCCCAGCAGCCCCAAGAGTCACGTGGAAGAGCCCCCCTCAGGACAAAGGGCCTAAGAGAATGCAGCCAGGTGGGCGGCGTCTGGGTGTCCACCTGAAGTAACCACACAGGGGCTTCCCGAGGCCCTGCCCATCCCCATGCCATCACCAGACCTGCGGCTGGGAAAGAGGGTCCTCCCCACCTCACACATAAGAAGCCTCACGGATATTCACGGACTGAAAATTCACTGGCAGCCACAGCCGGGCTCAAACCCAGACAGAGGATTATGCCTCTCAGCTTTGCTGCAGCATGGGGCTCTGGAAAAGTGTTCCATTCCTTTCCTCCCCCAGCCAGGTGGGCAGACCTGTTGGGCTCTCCCCTCACTCACTCAGACCAGACAGACCTCTGCCCTAATTTTCAGCCTGACCTAATTCTCTTGTACATACAGCCCAGGGGTCAGTAATAAGCAGCTATGCATTTTTCATGGAAGCCATGTCAGGCCTGGGCACGCCAGGCCCCAGATCCAGCTCAATGCCTGGTCCCCAAGGGCTTGCCACCTCCAAGAGTCAATTCCCATGACAGGCCACCTGGACCCAAGGTGATCCGGTGGGGTTCAAAGTCCACGGGGGCTTCCTGAATGAGGTGGATCTCTGAGGATGGGTAGGGGAGGTGTCCAGGCAAGGGAAGAAATAGGAGGGGACACCATGATGGGACTGAAGGGGGATTCGTGGCAGGGGGGCGACAGGGAGCCAGGCCAGTGGGGCGAAAACATAAAACAAGGTGGGGGGCAATAGGCAGGGGTGAAGGCAGGCAGGAAAGGAGCACCACATCACCCAAGGCTGTACAGGATGCTGGGGAGGTCTGGCCTTGACCCACACGACAGCAAGGAGCCACTGCGGTCACCGAGGGGGTGGCAGCCTGGCCGAAGCTCCAGGCCCCACAGCCCCAGCTGCTGTCTGGGATACGCACCCTGAACGGAACCAGCACAAAGCCCTGATGCTCCCTCCTAGCTCATCCACAGAGTCCACACACCCCTCAGGCAGGGGTGTCCACTCTGGACAGGGGTCCCCGAGGAGTTAAGGGGGGAGGGCATCTCAGAGCAGAGGACCCATGGGGCCCATCCACATCCCTCTCGTTGCCACCCTCCTGGCCCTGGTCTGCTCACATCACAGACCAGACTCCCTGCCATAACCCTGGCTCCTTTCCTCCCCAAGTCAGAACTGACAGAACCAACGGGGACCTAGGAGTGCATCCCACATGTCCGCTGTGCTTGGACGGCTGCGACCAGCGCCATCAGGGCTGCAGCTGCTCTTGGCCACGATGAGATGGGTCGGGGGCAGGGAGAAGGCTGGGCCTGCAATCAGTACTGGAGTTCACCCTCCTTAGCTGCTATCCAAGGATCAAGGCTGCTTTATTTCTATAAAAGCCCAGATATTAAAGCAGCAGTGGTGAGCCCCTGAGGCCTCCCTCCTGCCATCTCTCCTGCTTCTCTGCATTTTGTTCTCTACTCCCTGCCTGAGGCCTGAAGGCTCTGCCCCAGATGCCCACAAGCCCCCACCCCCGCTGCCTCCTTCAGGCCCAGGTCCACACTGCAGCCCCTCCCCACAGCTCTTCTCACATTTTCCTTCAGCTCCCACAGGAATGTCACCCCTGAAGGGAGAGAGCTTTGTCTGTTCACTGCTGTGCCCCCAGGGGCCAAAAAAAAAAGTGTTTAAAAACTTAAGTTATTGAACTAGTGTGTGAATGGGGTGTGAGCGACCTCAGGCGGCCAGTGGCCCAGACCAGGTCCCACCTGCTCTTCTCAGCTTGGATGGCCCCCTGACAACTGCCTGACAACTGCCAGCTCACTCACCACTGGGAACGTTTCAGGTTTTCCCAAATAGAAAGTGGTTTCAGCCAAATGGCACCTCCGCCCCCTGCAGAGCTGCAGCCCATTGTCTCCCCTCCTTGGCCTCCCATGGGGTATCCTGGCTGTGTTGCAGATAGGGAAGTGGAGCTCAGGGCGTCCTTTGAGTGACCAGCCCGGGAAGGGGCAGAGCTGGGGTCTGAACTCAGTATTCGTGGAGCTCAGCCAGTGGCCCTCCTCTGCTCTAGGACACAGCCCCCGTCTACGGCCGCACAGGCCCCAGGCCTGCCCACCCACCTGCTTGCCTGGAAGCTGCCTCCCTGCCTGCCTCTACCTCCACCCCTCCCCGACAGGCTGTTCTGGATACAGATTCTTCAAGCAGCCTCTGCCCTTGTATTTTCTAGCTGTGCTGCCCTGTCAGGCTGCCTGGGGAAGAGAAGGGGTCTGGGTGGGTAGGCTCAGAGCCTGGGATCTGCTTACTGGGGTCCCATCTTTCCAGCACGCTGTCACTGCCTGCCATTCCACCATCATGACTCCACGTGAGCAGCACCATAGCTGTGCTGGGCCTGGGGCTGCCCGCCAGACGGCCTCACCTTGCACTTGCAGCAGGGCCACCACGCGGGTGCCCGCGGCCTCACAAGTATAGATGCCGCTGTCGCAGGGCAAGGCCGGCCTGAAGGACAGCCTGGCCACGGTCCAGTCCTGCTCTATGATGACACGGCGCCCATCAGCGCACACCTCCTGCTCGTCCTTCGTCCACGTGGCCTGCACGGGCCGTGAGTACTGGCAGAGGAGTTCAGCCGGGCCACCCTCCTCCACTGCCAGGTCCTGCATGGCACTGACCACTTCCACTGTGGGATCTGTCGGCCGACAGGCCAGGCACGTGTCAGCTGGAGCAGTGTGACTGCGGCCCACCCACCCTCTGCAGTCAGCATCAGCGACTCGGAGGCAAGCAAAAGCAGGGCTGTGGTAGAAGGGGGACTCACCCCGGTGACCCAGCGCCCTCCACGTGGGGCAAACCTTGCCCCCATACACCCCCGCCCACAGCAGACTGTTGGCTCTGTCTCCATCCACTGGGCCTCTCCTAGCCACTGTTTCCCCTGAGCCCTTACTTCCTCTAGCCCAGGGTGCATGTTGCCCCAGTAGGACACAATAACCGCTCCTGAAAGCCCTTGGGCCCGTTCGGGCTCCACAGCTCTGATGGGCACTTGGCACCCCCAGCCCGACTTATCCCTTCTCCAGGGGCCTTGTCGCCCGCCCCCTCAGGGCTCCCATCCCATCTCCATCTGCTGAAATCCTATCAACAAACGGTTTGCCCCTCTGACCTGGGCAAATGTCCACATTTATTCTGCAAGAGCACGGAGGAGGCCAGTTGACAAATATGCCAGTCAAAGCCACACTGGGCTGCTGTGCCAGAAGTGCCCAGTGCCCCCACTGGGAGGGGGGCTGAGGGGGTTCCCTGGAAGCCCACTACCCTCCCCAAGGACTAGCTGTTTCCCAGTAAGGGCGCAAGACCCTGACCAAGCCAACAGCACAGGAAGCAGTTACAAGCAAGGACAGTGCAGGCCATGCCCGGGGCTGGGAAAGCTGCCTTCACCTCCAGGCTGCTCTCTGGGTATGTGACTGAGGGAGGGGCAACCGCAGAGTGGTGGCCAGGTGGGCAGCCGTGCCCAGGGCCCTATAAGCAGGTGGGAATGGGGTCGGCCTCCAGTTTCACTGTTGAGTCCGGCCTTCTTTCTCATCCCCCAGGTGGGACTGCAGCCTGCCCACAGTGCGCACTCATGGTACACACGGAGAGATGCCCAGTCTGCGTGCTGGAGGCCAGTCCCTGAACTCCCACCCTGGGAGCCCGCAGGAAGCGTGCAGGGGCAGCAGGGGCAGAAGCTCCAGCATAGGGCAGGGTTCCATCGGCTGGTACCTTTGACCAACAACTTGGCCCTGGAGACCAAGGGCCCTGCCCGGAAGGTGATGGTGCCTGAGTCAGTGACCCCCAGGCCTGAGAGCGTGAGAGAATGGTAGGTCCCATCACGCACGGAGATGGCACTCTGGGGGCCGTCCTGCAGCAGGGTCCCATCCAGCCACCAGTGGGCCTCCGGCCCACCTGCACGGGACACCTCACAGGAGAACGTGGCCACCTCCCCCGCAAAGACGTCCACGTTCTGTAAGCCACGTACCAGGCACGGTGCTGCCTCTGTGCAAGAGGGCGAAAGGAGGGGAGCTGGGGGTACCCTGGGTCTGTGGGGCCACCCTGAGGTCCACCATGCTGGAGGCAGCCTGGGGCTGGGGTCTAGAAATCTACCCAGGCCAGCTGGCACCCCCTGCTCACAGAATGAGACGAAGACCACCCATAGGCTGTGTAAAGCCAGCTCAGCCCCCCCTGCACCTCACAGCCCCCTTCAGAACATGTTCGGTTTCATCAAAGGAGACCAATGACCTGCATCTCACCCTTTTCAGAAGGCAGAATTGACAAGCCCCAAGTCCCATGGCTGCCATCTTTATGGGGTTCAGTGTGGGATAGGGAAGAGAGGTCATGGGGTCCACCTCTCTGAGACGGAGAGCGTCTGCTCAGGAAGTGAGCCTTCCTTCCTGGGAGCCTGGAAGCAGATGCTTCTCTCATCCCCAGAGGGCCATTTGTCCAGATGTCCCCTAAGGTCCCTTTGGCCCTAAGATTCTGGGGCCCTAATGCAAAATGGCAATTTCCCCCTGACCTGTCACACAGCAGGGCGTGAGCCCAGGGGGTTTCCCAGATGCCTGCTCTGTGCCTGCACACCCGCCCCAGCCAGGCTCTCCCTCAGAAGCCCTCCACATCCCTCCTAGGCATGCACAATCAACTCTCCAGTCCCGGGCCCACACCAGCCCCTCCATGTTCTCCCAAGAGTGCATATATAACTGTATCCCCAACCTGCTCCACCAGCTCCCCATTCCCATCTTCAGCACAGTTCCCAAGCTTCCCTGTAACCCACCAACCACCCATCTGCACAAGCTCATGCTCATGGCTCTCTGCCTGAAGCCATAGCTGCTGTCTGTACATGAGCCAGTTCGCCCCAACTGGGGACACCGGGTTGAGAAGGGCCAAGGCACTTCCCTCAGTGGGATCTGCAAGACCCGACCCAGTTCCATGCTGCCTCTCACAGACACCCACTCTGATGAATGCATGAGGCCCCTCCTGGCCTGACTCTGCTCAGGACACACATCCTGCCCCTTCCCATCATTCAACTTGAGGGCACTGCACTCTGGAGACTTTCCCAGCCCCACAGGCCACATGAAGACTCGAGGTGGGGACACCTGGAACTCAGGACACACTGTCTCCATGTACAACTCCCCCAGCAGATTGGGGACTCACTGAGGGGAGAGCTGCAAATGGCCCCTCTCGAGGTAGATAGTAAATATATGATGGACAGACAGTGGATGGATGGATGAATGGATGGTGGATGAACGGACAGATAATGGATAAATGATGGCTGGCTGGATGGCTGAATGGTAGATGGATAAACGGATGGATAGGTGGATGAATGGGTAGATGGTGGACAGATGGATGGATGGATGGACATAGGGATGGATGGTAGTAGAATGATGGTTAGATGGATGGATGGTGGATGAATGGATGACTGATGGTGGATAGATGGTAGGCAGATGGGTAGATGCTAGATGCATGGGGAGATGGTGGATCTATGGATGGATAGATGGATGAATTAATGATGGATAGATGGTGGATGGATAAATGTATTGCTGGTAGATAATGGTGGGTGGATGGATGGATAGACGATGGATGGTGGATGAATGGATGGATGCTGGATAAATGGATGGACGGATGGATTGAAGGATAGATGGAATAGAGGGGTGGATGGATGGATGCATGCATAGATGGATGGGTAAATGGTGGATGGGTTGATGGCCAGTGGATGGTAGATGGACGGGACCAGTATGAGAACCAGGAGTAGGACAGCATGGGAGGGTCTCTCATGGCCAGGCATCCAGAGATGACTAACTCTGGGGACAAGGTATAACAAGTTGAAGGCCCTTAAATCCTATTTGCATGTCTGGGCTCAGGTACACTATGCCCCAAACCACTCACGTGTCACAGGTGTGCTATTGTATCAACATCTGGGAGCCTGTCAGGTATGCAGGTGTGTTTAAATGTGGACAAGAGCACACAAACTTGCATCACAGGGAGTTGCTATATGGAGGGTACAAGTCCAGAAGGCCCTGCCTCCATCTCAGGGCCCAGGTCCCCAGCAGCCAGACTCCCCATCTCCCCTCCTACACACAGCACTGATCCCACACAAGGACCCAACATACACCAGAATTTCTCAGGCTGATCTTCACTAGCCCACATCCAGTGGCTTCAGTGGTCAAGAGTGGGAAACTGTCACCCCACAGCAAGATCACTGCTGGAAGGCTCAGGTTTCTGGCCTTACCACCTGCCAACGGTTCCTTGAGTAGGGAAACATGGACACCTACAAGCAGGAAGCCTGGGTGTAAGAGGGGGCTGCCCACCTGAGACCTTCAGCTGGGCCTCTGAGCGACATGAGCCCACTTGGAAACTGATGGTTCCGGCATCTTCAGGGGTCACCTGTGGAAGCAGAGATGGGGGCATCAGCCCAGCAGTGCCATTTCAACACCTCTACTTTGCAAGTCCCCAGCCCATTTCCACTGGAGTTGAAACCTTCCCTCTCTCCCACCCCTGGGGGGTGGGAAGGCCCCTGAATGCATTGCGGGGCACAGGCAGGTCTGGGGAATGCCACCTTGTGCAGGGTGAGCAAGTGGAGTGTGCCATGCTCCACCGTGATGTCGTTCATCTCGTTGGCCTGCAGGGGCACCCCTCCCAGGGCCCAGTGGGCCTCCTGGCCCAAGGTCCTTGACAGTCGGCACTGGAAGTGGGCATCCTGGCCCTCGCTGAGCTGCACATCCTGCAGGGGCTCCAGGATGGTCACCTCAGGGGCTGCATGAGTTGGGGGTGGGGTAGAGGCATGGCATCAGCCTCCGTGTCTGGGATGCCCCTCCCCCACCATCAGGAGCACCTCCCAGTCCCCAGGGTCTGCCCCCAGCACCCCTGCCCCAATCCCCGAAGACAAGCACACTGGGCACCACTCTACCCCAACATCTTGGGTCACCGCAGCATCACTCATTCACCACCAGTTCCCCACCCTCAAAGGCAGGAAACCTTGTCATCTATCACTGTCCCTTGACCGGGCCTGGCCCAAGGAGGACCTGGATGTTCTGGCCCCAAGCGCAGTGAGCAGTGAGGCCCAGCTCCTGCTACCTGTGACGGTGAGTTGGGCAGAGGATGTGTGGAGGCCCACGCGGAAGGAGACAGTGCCCGCATCCTCGGGAGTCACGCTCTTTAGCCGCAGTGTATGGGTGCGGCCACCCCGCACGGCCACTTCTGTCACCTCACTGCTCTGCAGTGGCAGGCCCTGGAGGCGCCACTCCACGTCCATGGACTCAGCCCGCGACACTTCACAGCTGAACTCTGCTTCCCCGGCGGCCTGCACCTCGGTGTCAACCAGGCCCCGCACAATGGTCACCTCAGGCTCTGGAGTGTGGGCAAAGGGGGCCTTTACCAGCCAGGTCAGAGCACCTGGGCCAAGCTCCCATGCCCCCTGCCCCAACTCACCTCCAGGAAGCCCTCCCAGACACTCTCATGCTCTTCTCCTGCCACACAGCCTCTATCTGCCCCATGTGAGACTCATCACCCAGCTGGCTCACAACACAGCTCCCTACCATGACACTGAGCTACTGGGGACAGAGCTTGGGCTGGGGGCACCTCTGCCTGGAGGAAGCGGGCAAGGGACTGTGGGGTGGTGGGCTGCTTTTGTTCCTTCCCCCACCTGTGGCCAGCCCTGCCCTGGCTGGGACACCAGGGAGGCAAGACCTTCAGGACAGACAGGCAGGAGCTCACAGAGGGTGGCCCAGGCCAGGCTGCCCCACCCGCTGGCAGGGGCGGGAGGCAGGGCAGTGTTTAGGGCTACGGTTTCCTCACCGTCGACGC